ATCTCAAAACCCTAAACCGCTAAACCGCTAAACCCTAAACCCCTAAACCCTAAGCCCCAAACCCTCAACCCCAAACCCATGAACCCCTAAACCCCAAAACCCTAAACCCCTAAACCCCAAACCCTCAAACCCTAAACCCCAAAACCCTAAAACCCTAAACCCCTAAACCCCAAACCCTAAAACCCTAAACCCTAAACGCTAAGCTAAACCCTAAACCCCTAGACCCTAAACCCCTAAAATCCTAAACCCCTAAACCCTAAACCCGAGGCTATGAGATCGCCCAGCTCATCCTGGCCGAGCTCGGGGAGAGGACGGAAGGCTGTTCCCATATAAGTCTCAGGGCTCTGAGGGTTTAGGGTTTAGGGTTTAAGTCTCGGGGCTCTGGATGGCGTTGAGTTCAGTTGTCTTTGTTTGCGGCGGTTTTCGGTATGTTGTAAACCCTAAACCCTGAAGCCCTAAACCCTAAAACCCTAAACCCTAAAACCCTAAACCCTAAGCCTCATGCAATGGCCCGAGAAGCCCTTCAGAGCCCAGGTATGCAGAAACGACCTGAGAAGCTGGCGAAAGCTCCTTGGTTCGGGGACTTCGGTAATGTCGGGGCCTTAATAGTTACCCATACTATTAGGGCTTAGGGTTTAGGGTTTTGGGGGGGGTCCTTATTATATTTATAGTATCATGGTCCCCAGAACCCTATTCTAGTTATTAAGGCCCCTATATCAGGTTATGCTTGGCAATGCTTGGGTTCTAGGGTTTCCGAGTTTTAAGGTTCAGGATTTAGGCTATTGGGATGCGTTCTATTTTCCTTGCGTTGGGTCTCATGATCGTTCTACGAACAGTTTGGGGACTTTCGTCATGGAGCCGAGGCTTTGAAAGGCGTAAATTCGATTCTGGTGCAGTGCAAAGTGACTGTCCTTTCTTCTGAAGATCCCTGGCCTGTGCAGCAGTGCTTTTTCATTGAAGTTGTATTCTACAGGGCTTATGGTTGGCTTGGGGCTCTGGTGATTAGGGCAGTACCTGTCGTGTTGGTGCGTATAGTAGAACAATTGTGCCTGCAAGGTGATACCTCGTATATGGTGGTGAAGATGATGTGTGAAATGCTATTTATCCAACAGCGGTCCAGATGCTGTCCTTGTTGGTACAACGTCACTCAGACATGCTTTAACTGCCATGACTTCAACACTACAGCCCGGACTTCAGCTGTTTCCAGGAGAAGCACTGGAAGTACTTGCTCTCACATCTGAATGTGGAAACCCTTATAAACCCTAAACCCTAAACCCAGGACTTCAGCTGTTTCCGGGAGAAGCACTGGAAGTACTTGTTCTCGCATCTGACTGTGGACGCTGGCTGCCTTTCTGCTGTCGTCGCTCACCGCGAGGCGAGCGCCTGGCTGACATCCTGGTGGCTTCTGGGATTTACCAGAGAAGTCTGAACCGTTAGGCATACTGTAGCGACTATATCCACATAGTCTGTATACAAAAACTTTAGAAACAACAATCCCCTAATACGGATCCTTACCTAAACCTTGAACCCTAAAGACCCTTATCTGTATCTTATATAACTCATAATCCCTTATGGAGCCCGTAGAGTCTTCCCTGGACCGGGGGACTCAGGTTGGAAATGAGCAAAGCAACATCAGAGCCTCTGAGCTGGATGTCCTGGGTGTCAGAATTCGCAGGCAAGAAGAGCTGGCTAGGAGGGTTCCTAGAAGGGTTATTATGAGGGTTTACGGTTTGGGTTCCCAGAAGAGTCTAAGGTTTAGGGTTTAGAGTGTTATGTTTACTAGAAGGGTTGCGATGAGGATTCAAGGTTTAGGGTTGGGACGGTTGCTACAATAAGGGGTTACTCCAGGTTTAGTATAAGGGCGACTTTGAAGGACTACTGTAAGGACGACTACCTGCGGTACTTTCCGATGAGGGTTACTTAAAGGGTTACTAGAAGGGATAGGGTTACTGGAAGGGATACATCAAGGGTATTATACGGTTAGTTTAATAGCTTCTGCAAGGGTACCCCAGCGAAACAACCCTAAACCCTAAACCACTAAACACTAAACCTTAAACCCACGGTTTACGGTTGAGGGATAGTTCGGGCTGGGGCTCGAGGCTTTGATGGAGGTGGCTTTGGGTGTCGGTTTAGGGTTGAAGCACAGAGAGGTTTGTCTTCAGATGCTCAGGATATCTACACATGTTTGGTGTAGGTGTGCCTAAATACTTGGAAATAGGGCTTCGGGAGACTATCATGCAATTGCTGCATATTTGCTGGCGGAGGCAAGCGCGAACCAGATGCCCATGGAGACACCGACCCACAGCTGCAGCTCCTGAACGTGCTGGAAGATGCCTTCCCCAAAGCTGTGGAGGCGGTGTCCTATGACTACTTGCATCTGGGCCGTTTTGGAGAACAGGACAGTGTTTTGGTATGTTAGGGTTTAGGGTTCAGGGTTTTGTTAAATTTGCAAGCAGCAACAGAAAACAACCATGTTATTTTTTGTGTTGTAGTTCTCCAAGAGCATCCAAGGCAGGAGGTGAACTGCAGTATGGCAGCCTACATCGTTTGCAACGTCACTCTTCATAAGTCAGGACCAGCCTGGACGACGTGCAAGAATAAGGTCAATCGCAAGGCTTCTGTCTCGCCTCTTGTCGTTGGTTCAGGACGTTTCAGGTCGCAACTTTTTCCCCAACACCCTATCCTAAACCATGGCTTTCATATGAAACGCCGGGCTACACAAAGCACAGAGGCGACCCGCCCCGGATTGCAGTACCATTCTGGCTTGTTAGCTACATCTTAGCCTACAAGTAAACCGCAACCATACGCCCTGAACCCTACATGCCCGACAACCCAAGCCCTAGCCTTTCGAGGCACAATAAGTCTCCACCACGCGCGGCAGTCGATGTCGTGGACCTGGCACGTGAACTTTACCAAGCCAAGCAGGCATTGGAGGCTACCGAATGCGATGTTCCCTGGGCAAAGTACACGAAGACAACTGCGGTAAATTTGGTTCCAAGTGCCAAAGCAGTAATAAATGTCGCACAGCTGCTACCGCAGATCTGCGAGGGTTTTGACGCATTGTTCGTATCAGAGGCAGATGATTGGTTTGCGCGCACGGGTGCGCAGAGACCAAGCTCGCAGCCCAAGCTTCAATGCAGTATAGATCTCAAGAAGCTGAAAGCCCCGCACTGGCGAGTGATCGACAAACTCTTGCCTGATTGCAAGTGATGAGATGCACGGCCGCGACGCTGAGCGCGACGCTGAGCCCCCAACCCGGAACCTCTGAAGGCCTGAACTCTAAGCCCCGAAATGGGAAACCTTGCTGTTTCTGCTCGCAAGAATCGGAGATGACTTGAACGAAATCCCCGGCGAATTGAAGAGGACAAAAAAGCGATCTCACAGCACAGTGTTGTGTGGAAGCTGTCTAATCGGGGCTCTTCTATCCGAATCCTCACTGAACTGTAATATAGAAACCGTAGTATTTACTAATATTACCTATGATTATACTCTAAAGGAGCCCAGAGCCCTATGCGAATTATTCAGGCCCTTACTTTATGTTGATGGGGTTTTGGAGAAACGCCGTGCCCGAAGCATTGCGCCTGCATAAACGCATCTTAGACTACCTCCAACCGAGTATTGTAGTCCTTGATACTAGGCATTTGGCCTCATAGTTTGCGGTGATTGTGGGGCCGAATGCTAGCTACGCCCTGTTAGCGTAGTGTCGACTACTTCACATCGGGTGCAGGAGGAAGGAACACGGTGCAGCCATGGCCAGGGTGCTGATTGTTGTCGCGATTTCATTTGTTTTACAATTCGATGTGTATCGCTGCTGTTGAACTGTTGTTTGACATGTGGCCTTCTTGTCGGCTTAGTAACTTCCTTGTTTGTGCTGCTTCGTTTCTTGTTACTGCTGCAGTTAGTTCTGATAGTGAGTGGTGCTGGTAGTAGTAACAGTAGTAGCAGCAGCGGTGGTAGGTATAGGCAGTGGGTAGTAGTAGTAGTAGTAGTAGTAGTAGTAGTAGTAGTAGTAGTAATCGTCGTAGTAGTAGTAGCAGCAGCAGCAGCAGCAGCAGTAGTAGTAGTAGCAGCTGGAGTAGCAGTAGCAGTAGCAGTAGCAGT